TTATAAATAAATAAATATAAATAATTTTATAAATAAATAAAAGAATAAACAAATTAGCCAGCAGCAGTTTATTTAAAAAGCACGTGGATATTTTGTAAGCAGAATTTTTCTATCTGAGCTGCCTCTAAAGATGTCCCTCTTCTGGCACTGCGGAAAAAGAATAGCAATGCCAACAGCCATCCTCACAAACTGTTCCTTACATTTAAAATTCGTTCTGCTTTCACAGGAGTGAGCACCACTGAGGCTAATTACTTTTATTGTGACATATTCAGCTGTTTTTAAAAATACAGAGCAATAAGGATAAGTCTTCTGAAAACACTTATCCTCACATGAAGTTCCTTTACCACCTAGTGAGCCAGGAACTTTCTCCAATTTGATGGCAGATACTGCTAGACACTCAGCTAACAACTTTTACGTTACTACTCATGATGTGATGGTGGTTCCACTAGCCTTCTCACTACAAAGGCATACTTTCACATTTTATGTTAAACAGATTACAAAAAGAAAGGAAGTGTCCGGCATTTCAACACTATAATTGCCTGCGGGCACTAATAAAAACATCATAAGATGATACTTTTCTGCATCTTCATTATTTTTGCCGCATCAGGCTCCAAAACTAATCTTTTGAGACTTTTGCTAAAGAAGTATACATCCACACCTGAGAAAAACAGGGCTCATTTCAGCCAATACAAGAGACGATCTTTCCATTAGTAGGGTCATCTCAATTAGTGTTCTGAAAGGTTGTGTATCCCTTTTGGCTTTGAAAATGTGGGACAAAATGTTACTCTTGTTTTCATTGTCTCATGAAGTTCAGTTGTCCCACAGGAAACAAATGATTGTGTCTTGAGACATGCAGCTACGAGAGATGGAGCAAGTGTCCCAATACCATCGTTTCCCAACAGTTCACCTTGAATATAAGAGAAACATGCTTTACAGCACAATGTCATAGCTTTGGAAGGCCTTCCTATAGAACATGGTATGTAAAGGAGAAACAGCTTGGAAACTGCCAAGCTTAAACGCCTTTGCATCTACAATTCATTGGTGACAGCAACAGCGGCCACTAACAAAGACAAGTGCAGTGCTGCTCAAGAAGTATGCCTCCTCGGCAGTGATGCCTCATAAAAAACAATGTTTTTCTGCATTTCAGCTTTATTGCCGACAGACTGAAGAGCCACCCCAACTTGTACACTCAATTCTCGTTATAACGAGGTTGAAGAGGAACCACAATTACTTGGTTATATCCATTATTTCGTTATATTGATTATAAAAGTTCGTGGCAATGTGCGATTTTGTGCCATCGAACCAATGTATATTTTCACGGTGTGGGAATTGAGGCTACCCCGCTGCCTTTGCGCGGGCTTTGCCGCCTTTTCTGCCGTTCTCATGTCCCAACATGTCTCCCTCCTTTGCAGTCTGCCGCGCTGGGAAAGAGGAGTGACGTTTAACCCCCTCACCCGGTAGCGGATGTTGAGTCTGACACCGCGCACGAAGTCTCCCGAGAGGTTTTCGCGCGCTGTGTCGGGAGCGGAGAGATACTCTCCGGGACTGCAAACGGTGAGCCACGCAATCTTTTTCGTCCGTCGACTCTCGTCGCTCGGGGCTCGTCGGACTTCGCTGACGGCGCCTCGCGCCCGAGGTGAACACTCACCTTTTGTTACCCCACTGCGTACGCACGGCCGAAGGGCGGTATGGTGTCATAGTGCGTGGCCTAGCTACGCCGACCCGTCTCCCTCCAAAGCCAATGCGAGCGCCTTTGCCCTCGCTCGAGCAACCGGGCCTTGGTCCCGGTGTCTCCGTGGATCACCTTTATCGTGGAGACGTGCTCGTGGCACCCTGTGTAGTACTTTTATGCCCGTGGCGTGAATAAGCCTATTTGCTTTCCCGTCGCGCCTTTGCAACAGGCTGTACTGCATTTGGTGTTGCCACAATAAAGCGTTGTGACTTTAAGCAGTATCATGTTCTCGCCACGGCGACGGTTAAGGCGTGGCCTGCGGCTCGCTAAGACCGGACCCACGCTGGTGGCCGTACTCCTTCAGGATACGTGTACACCACACTGGCGCCCAACGCGGTATCAAAAGCTCTAGCTTTTGACTGCTCTTAGCGAGTCAGTTCGCCTGCGCGATTCGGGCTCGTCGCAACATGGCTGCTTAGCGGGACTTTTGTCCGCTGTCCCTGTTAGCGGATGCCACGTTGCACAAGGAGGCCATTGCCTCTATTGACGGGAACTCTTCGGCACCCGTCCGTGTCACCACCCCCTATTGCGGTGACGACACGAGGTGCCTAGCCACTCCCTTTGGAGATGACGCGTCGCTTCGGAATGGGCCTCTTGCCCTACCCGAACGGTACGCACAAGCGCCTCCGACTGCTAATGCGCCCTTCGGCATGCATGGCAGTGCGTCGGCACAGCGCTCGCAGTCCGTTCCCTGCGGAAATGACGGGGCGCAGGCCTTGGCCCTCGCCGACTTTTGCCCGCCATCAGCCGTGCAACCGACACTTCGAACGCACGCTGAGCAGGCGCTTGAATTGTCGATGGTAGCCGCACCAAGTGCGCCTTTGGTTCGACAACAGGCCAATCCCACAAGAAGCCTATTTTGCTCTGGGAATGGCGCGCAGGGCAGTGGTCTGTTGATGCGTTAGCGGCGCTCGACCGCGCCGCTAACGCACCAACGGCTTCCTACGAAGCCGGTGCTACGTCGCAGACGTTGCTGCAAAAGGCCGTGCAGATGATCCAAGCACTCTTGGGAGCTGTGCAAACGCTTTCGGCTGGTCCGAAAAGCGGTAACCCCGCTGTTATCTTGCCTTTGCCAACCTACAGCGGATACGGTGATCAGCTCATCGCCCGAGATTACCTCGACTCTCTGTCACGTTATCGGAGAGCGATGGGTTTGGATGATAAGGTGGTGCTCGAACGTGTTGTTCCAGCTGCACTGACTGACATGGCGGCGCGATGGTATCGGCTTACCGGTTACCGTGCAGCAATCCTCGAGGAGTTTCGTGCGGGCTTTTTGCACGAATTCCTACCCGCTGGCTACGAAAGTAGGATGCGGCGAGAGCTCCTGACGAGTCTGACAAGCTCCTGACGAGTCTTTACAGGAGTATGTACGTGCGATGGATGAACTTATTTTTATCGCTGAGCCCAGAGCCTCGAACGAGGAGCGCGTCGAACGGGTGATACGGCAGGCACATCCGACTTCTTCGGCATACCTGCGCGGCAGCCGCTTCCGTGACTTGGAGGAGTTGGCCGCCAAGGCAAAGGGCATCCAAGGCGACATTCCCGCCGCGCGTGCCTATCGCCCGGCGCCGCCAGCCAGCGATGCCCTTGAGCCCCGCTGCGCTTGAAGAGGGGCCATGACCCTTCCCCAACGGCAACAGCCTCACGGTGCCTCCTTTGCGTCTGCAACCGGCAGTGCGTGGGAGTTGAGCGATCGCGCTCTTGACCCCTTTACGCATGAAAGACGGGCAGCCTGCGCTGCTCCACCTGAAACCTCCATACAGGGACGCTTTCCGACCCAACATAATGTAGGAGGTGCGGCTCGCAGAAACGTATGCTACGATAACGTAGCGAGCCGATAACGACAGCTCGAAGCTGCTCCGTCTGGGAATACAGACCGCGGTGGAGTGCGCTGTTACCGCTGCCGTGAAAGAGGGCACATAGCAAGGGAATGCACCGGATCCAGGCCTTCTGCAAGGCAGGGAAACGGGCTTCCGGGTCGTTCGCGAATGCACGAGCGACCCAACCTTTGCTTCCTCCCTCTGCGTGCAGGGCAAGCACTTTTCTTGCTGATACGCACGCGCCGTTCATTCAGGTCACCATTGCCACCATTAACGCGTGCCCTGCGGCTTGCTAAGACCAGACCGACCCTGGTGGCCGTACTTCTTTGAGATATGTGTACACCACAACGGTCACGCGGATATTGTTTGTTTTAAGTGAAAGTTCGTTTTAAGTGGGGCCGTTATATGTGGACTCGGCTGTATTCAAATTGTGAAGTTCACATGCTTCTCAAGTAATCAAGCATTTTGATTTCCTTCTGAAGTCACAAGCAAGCTCGCAATTCCACTGTGACAGTGGATGACCAGCGATGCTGTTTATGACGTGACACCCAGATGACACAGAATGACAAGTTCATCTTTTAAGGACTTGTGTAATCTGTTCTGCCCAATTTTTGTGGCATACGAATGTGCTCCATATTTTTGCACCCTTGCCATATACAGCTTCTCTGTAGATGTGTGTGTGTGTGTTTTTGCTTTTTTTTTCAGGGTGTAACAAGCAATCGTGATGCGCTAAAACGCAATAAATGTCTCATTTTTCAGACAACCAAGAAAGTAAAAAGTTGGGAAGGCCAGCTATGCATGCCTGCAAGTATGTTTATTGGGCATGTTTATACTGTGACAGGTTATGGCAGGTGCATGCATGCAATATTAAATAATACATGTGCATTACTCTATTTCTATTTTTTCTATGCATTTCTATTTCTATTTCTTATATGCATTACCATAATACACAGGATAGGCTTGACTGTGAAATATCTCTGCAATGTGGCACAGCTGACTTTCACAAACTTATTAGTTTGTAAAGTCAGCTGTTCAATAATTGAGATAGAGACACCTTTGGGTAACAGCAGTTTTTACTTATCACACAAGGTAAAAAAAATACAGTTCTTGAGACTGAAGTCTAGGACGTCCTCACAAATGGGCCCTATATTGTACCCACAATCTGCTATAGCTGTATGTTGTAAAGGTTTCTAGTTAAGTGCCACAAAGGCACCAAAATTATGGCGCATATCTGAAAAACTCTGTGACAAAAACATAAGCTGCTGACAGTATTCAGTCCCCAGAAAATGCAATATCTCAGGTCGAATGAAGAATGAATAAGACAAACAAGCTATTTCCACCTGGCTTCCTTATTTTGCCACGCCTAGAGTAAAGGTTCACCTTTGGTATAGTGTGCATTGGTGACAAGAAAACCGCTTTGCATGATGACCTCCTGCCACCTAGCTTACCTTTGCTCTTTCCATTGAATTTTTTTTCCTCCACACCCAGCACAGTGTCATGCTCACGGTCGTACTCGGCTTGCAGCAACAGTGCTAGAGCATGGTCGTCACTGCAGTCCTCTGGCGATGCAAACACCTCTGCTGCAGCCGCAGCTTCACAAGGCACTGCCGGGTGGTCACTGCAAGCAGAAAAGGCACATGTTGAAAGAGCAAAACCAACAACTAGTGGTGCACACCGTACGAGTGTCGCAAGTATACCCTTCGCTGCACTTGCAGCCTGCACCCAATGCATGAGCACGTGTAACATGTGAGAAGGAGTTCCGGGATGCTTAAAGTTATGTTGTTGCATCCAACGATAGTTCAAGACCTGGTGTAAATGCAGTAGATGGTGCAGCGAATGCAGAGCCTTTTGCACACTGCTGATGTGGCAGCTCAGCAACTGACCTATATGACCACTTGAATTCGTGCGGATAGAGCACATACAAAATATACTGTCACGTGCGTTTCTTTTTGTACTTTCATGACCAGCCTGCTAAACTTTGAAGGACACTTTTACGATTCAAAATATCTCAAAATTTCAAAACATGTTGTAATAGTACACAGGTGACATTAAAAATGCTTTAACAAAATCTGGCAAATAACTTTGCAGAAAAGAGAGACAAAGAGGCAGAAAAATGTTTTTATTCCCATATTTTCTTATGCAAAAGCCTCTCTTGTTTTTATTCCCATATTTTCTCATGCGACAGCCTCTCTGAACACTGCCACCACTTCCTTCTTAGGATGGCCAGAAAGAAAGTGCGTTCTCTTGTCTCCAAACCTTATACTTCAGGTAGCCCAACCAAACAAGCACACAAAAAGCAAAAGCTTGAGAGGTCATTCTAAAATTACGATTCACTGTCTCCACAAAGTGGCCAGAGCGCACAGTCCCGAGTGAGCTGGCGTCTTCATCGCAGGAGCATAGCCCCTAATTCTTTAACCAAATTGACCGAGTTTATCTGGGAGCCTGTTTACTGAGGTTGTATTAAATGTGAAGCATTTCTTTCTGTGTTGCAGGCAGATTTAGCATCCATCCATTCATCTCTGTCTGTCTGTTTATCCACCTATGTCTGGGTGCTCTCGTGATTACCCTCTTAACAACTTGAGTTGAACCTAAGTTAGTATGGGAGGGTAAGATAGCTGGACAAATATGACTCGCTGGACATGACATGAAAAAATTGGTCACGTATTTGCATGCTTCTCTGCAAAGGACATCGAAATCTTCTTTAACGTGCACCCAAATCTGAAATCTTCTATCTAGAGAGAAAGAGAATAAAATGTTTATTTGACGTTCTCAGTGATGCTACCCAGGTCTGCTGACTTGGAGCAATTTTCGGAGCAGCAAAATCTACATAATGGAGCACTTTGGAGCAGCAATATTTTCCACTTTGGAGCAATGTAGAGCAGCTAGCTTCACATGCTGAAGGAGAAGCAAGCTGCATTTATATTCAAGGACATGAATAGTTATCTTGGGGCTTTTGTGAAGAGCGGGAAATATTTCAATTTATTGCAAACCTCATGAAGCCAGACATCTTAGGAGCACTCGCTATTCCAGTTGATTATGCGAAAATAATGTCATGCTGTTAAGCATTCTGAAAAAACTTGTTCAGTGATTATTTTAGTAGCAAATAAACAGAATACTGGTTCAAAAAAAAAAATTTGCCACGAATATGCATGTTACACTGCAAATGTCGAAAGACGATAGATTGTGTCTGGAAGAGAGTGAACAAAACGTTTATTTCATGTTCTGTGTAAGAAAATCGGTGAATAGTATTCTGGAGGAGCTGCGTTAGAGTGCCTCAAGCGTGTAGTGGAGGCGAACGAGCGCATTGAGGCACATTAGACACGAGCGCCATCTGGCAGTTATCTTCGAAAACGAAGGCGTGCACGCCCGCGGAGAAAGATGCGCGCCTGTCTCGGAGGTAATAAGGTGTAGAATGCAAAGTGACGGGCAAGTGCCACCAGCGTGTCGTCTAAGCAAAGCGTTGGAAACACTTACCTTTTGAGCATCGCGTTGCACTGTCAGCGCAGCGCGGTTAATGCTACAGTCCTTAGAGTTACTTGTGTGTGCCTCTTCTAGTATAAAGGCAGACATACAAAACATTGACGTTTTGCTTTGTTATGGCACCTAAGATATGTGCAATTATTGCTTTTTAATTGACAATCGCACAACTATGAACGCTAAACCTTGAGAAATATTGGTGAACGCTGCCGATGGGGTCGGCTGTTAAGTGCCAATTGAGGTATCATTAACGGACAAACAGACAAATATGCAGACAGACAGACCAAAAATTTTTCATTGAAGGTCCTCAAGAAAGACTATCGTCTTTAAAAGTCTTTAAAATAGTACTTCATGAAATAACATTCTAAATACAGACATGTGGTTATCAGCAGATATGGTAGACAAACGCTGTGACGTACAATGCTAGAGACTCACACAGTTCCAACTGCATTTCTCTAAAATGAATTCAAGGGAAAAAAAATGTTCCTTTTCATCACAACTGATTATACTGCTGGGCATAACATGGCGTCATTTAGCTAATCTCATACAGCCAACCTCCTTTGCATCTCTCTGTGCTGAAACAACACCATTTAAAGGGCCAGAGGTCCAAAAGCCCAGAGGTTCAAAAATTTTTTAAAAGAGGTATATGTGCAATTTTTCTTTGCGAACATGCTTACGCAAGAATTTTGCCAATACGTGCTACATGAAGGAAGTTACAGGGGTTAAAACATCGGTCTAAGCTGGTTGCAAATTTTCACACGTCCTCACCCCCCCGCTATTCTCTCTTTTATGAAGGGGAAGGCTTAGCCCATCATTGTGACTCAGCTCACTTTGGCAACGTGACACCACACCAGCGATTGACGTAATCCGCAAACTCGATCAGTCGAAATGCACTTCCACTTGCTGCGAAGCGTGGTTGTTTGTTTACAGTTTGCTGCACCAGCCGCGGGTCAACCGTGTAAGCATCAGGTGCGAAATGTCGAACACAAGCGATCAGGTCCCCGACGTACGTCCTCGCTGGATGGCCGATTCGCTTTAGCCATGCAGCGCGCAAGGCCCCATAGTGAAGCACCCGATGCCGATGCTTCTCCATTGCCCAGTCGCTCAATTTGCAGCTGACGACAAAGCAATGCTTTTTACCCGTGTTTCTCATGTCAAGGGCGAATTACATTCGTACGGGCGCACAGACGCAGTAGTTGAGCGAGAAGAGTACACGTGCATGCGACAACTGCGAGGCTGGTTCTTTCACCGCAGTGCCAAGAAACAAAAGGCAGTTTTGTAGCTGTGGACTCACTACTCTTTTTTCACACCTGATTTAGACCACTGCGTGCTACGTCACGTCGCCGATCGCCGAGTTAACGTCACTGCGCGTGCAAGGGGGTCGGTCAGGCGTAGGAAAGATGTGCGGGAATCGTTTTTCGAAATAGAGGCTCTGTCCGGCGCTGTAATATTCAGAGAACGTGATCGCTGCAGTCTATTCTAGGAATTGCGGAGCTTTTAGTAGGGTGTAAAAAAAAAACGTAGCCTGTTTACTGGCCCTTTAACAAACATCGTTTTTATTTTGTAGCGGTGTTTTATGTGGCTACGTCATTCTGTCTATACTTCAAAAACGTCCTATAGTGTCCTCTAAAAAGCAGAGCAAAAAGAAAAAAAAAGGGGGGGGAGATGGGGGCTTGATTTGAAGGGGCTGCCCGGCTGGCAAATGACCATTTTTAGCAATACATGCTGTAAGGAAAGGACTTAAAGACGCCGAGGAACATCAAACCAGAACTGAAGACGACGAGCGCAGGGCAGGTGGCATGAAGGCGACAACAAGAAATGAAGAAGAAGAGGAGAAGAAGAAGGAACGTGCGGGACAAGGCACGTTCGATTACTGAGGCAACTGTGCTCCAATCAGCTGATGACCAGTCGTGGCCCATAGAGGTGGCGTGCCACGATTGGGCCATGTGTGACCATTACGTGGCGGTAGGCTTTGTGGCTGGGGACAAGCCGAAGCAGCGGCAGACGGAAGACAGCGGGCCGAAGCGTCGGACGCAGGCGATCCAGGTTCCAGCCAGGAAACGCGGCCGTCCACGCTGCTGCTGTCCAACCACCAGCTGGGGCGGCATTGCCGGCACGAGTACTGCATCTCGGGGCGCGGCCTGGCCTGCTGTTTTCTTCCTTGCCGAGGGCATCGCGGATCTCGGCGAGGCGCCTCCACGGTCAGCCGTTCGACACAGCGATGAACGTGGCCTGGCTAATGGTCACGGTAGCGTCGAGCATCGCGTCTCGGCGCACGCTCTTCGCTGGACGGGCTGGCCATTCCCCGCATGGAGCATCGCATCTTTGATGCGGGTTGACTGCTCCGTAGCCGCACCCATGCCATCAAGCGCCGGTGTCATCAGAGCGTCGCACATCGGCAAGGGACGAGCGAGACGTTCTGTCGGGCGAGACGCGGGCGTGTGTACGGAGGACCACAGAGCCGGGCGAGGTTCAGGGTGGCCGAGGATCCAGGTGCCAGGAGAGTTGCTGGCTGAATCGAGGATCGCCGAGCGGTGCCGAGCCGTACCGAGCGACGCGCCAGACTCGGACGTGGGCGACGAAGGCAGATGAAGCGGTGCGCCGCTCGAGAGGAGGAGTTCCTGGCAGCGTTCCTGAGCTGAACGTGGGACCCGTACGTGTCGGCCAGGTCGAGCGCCGGTGTGTCTGTTCGAGGTCGAGTCCGTCGGCCTGTACAAGGTCCAAGGACGGGGCCTGCTGAACGGCTCCTGCCTGGGTGCAGTGGCCGAGAGCAGGTTCGTGGGCGAGGCCTACCGGGTGTGGTCCTCGTGAGCCGTGGCCTGATCCTGGACCTCAAGAGTTGCGACCCTGACTGCTGGGTTGGCCGTGACGTCCGACTCAACGGCGCTGCACATGGTAGCGCATCCGTGTGCCGTCAGCCGTTCCAGCCGTGCCACCTTTGCCCTCGTGCACGTCGACGACCGCATCATGTCGGGACGATGGGGACCCAAACTGTGAGACAGCGGTTTCGTCTTGTGAACTGAGAACTATACGCGCTGGACACTGAGTTAGCGTAGCCGCGAGCTCTCCGCATAATAGGTCTGACTCTTGTGCAGGTTGCGTGATGCTTGGCGTGCAGGGTTGGATATATAGTTTTATTTT